AGAGAGAGAGAGAGAGAGAGAGAGAGGGTAAAAGGGAACGATCGTCTCTTTCCATAGGTCTTAGAGACTTTGTAGCCAGCTGTGAGAGAGCAGCTGCTGGTGCTCCTAATAAAGGGAATGTTTCGTTAAATACAAAAGGCTTTCATGTTTGGGAACTAGGTCCAACAGGTCCTTAACCCTTGGGCCATGGCCCACTACTGGGCTGTGGCCTATTTACACCTGGGCCCCAGAGTAGTGAGCTGGTGCACACATTTGCACATGCAGCTCAAGTTGTACAAGCAATGGGCTGGCATACGTGCATTGCACATGTGTGCACAGTTCAACTTGTATAAGTTGAGCTGCACATGCTTGTGCATGCATACTGGACTGCTCCTCACATCGCCTAGTCCCCTTCTCCTCCTGCCAGGCCACTGGGCTGCCGGAAAACGTTGGGGACCACTGCTCTAGACTATAAAATGAGAGCAAATCCACTCCCTACCAGTACTAATGATATTACCTAGTTTGGATAATGAAATGTCTGTAGGAAAATTTTAAAGCTCAGAGAGCACCAAGGACTCTTCGTAACAGTTTTCAGACAAGTTGTCCAATAGTATTCAGTCTCATTAGGAATAACAAAAGGAAATTGTTAAGTTTGAGCAATGAGAGGCTGAACCAGAGCATGAGTGCAACAATACTTTATTTTACAATAAAGGGCTGACCGTGCTTGCCAAGCCTGGAACTGGCTCGCAGCAATCAGCAACCGGTTGGACCCCGCAGCCTGCTTTTATAGCTGGCTGCTGGGGAGAGCCAACCAATGGGAATGGGGGAATAACGCCCACGTAAAGTGAGTGGACCTGAGTGAGAACTCCTTGAGTCCTCAGGACATAACAGAAATATTTATACTTAATCCAAGGTTCTGTGCCTGAACTTTTATCTTTCAATTAAGTATAACCCAAATTATAGTAACTTGGACAATATTCAGAGCTAGTGGAATGTAAGGTTCTTGGCAGTTTGCCTTACTGACATTTGATAGGTATAATAGATTTGTAAATGCATACATCTAATCTCAAACTCTGAGTTCTAGATTGGATGCACTCTTGGATCATAGGAAAGCTGCATAAAATTCTACAAAGTCCTATAAGACTAACAAACCAATCTTAAAATTGCTGGAAAATATCCAAGTATCCTTAATATTTTGATGGCAGTGGCTTTTCTCTATAGTAGTATGTTGGTAATGTTTTAATTTGTTGTGGGCATCATCTGTAACCAAAAAAATTCTAATTCATATTTACTTTTTTCAGTAAAGAACATTTGTTCCCTGCCTCCCCCACTTCCTTTTTGTGTTTAAAGGGGTAAAGATAACCTGTAAAGGTACAAAAGCACAAAAAAATGTATAAAGAAAGGGGAATGAAAATTTAAAAGCCAGAATAAAACAGCAGATAATGAAAAAGTAATCTTTTGTTCTTTAAAGCACAATTAGGCACATAGAGAATAGGCTGAATGCCCAACATACAGTAACAGAGGAAATAAATAAATCTGTCCTGGAAAATAACAATGCAATTTGTAGAGTAACATTGGATTTAGATGGATTTTTCCATGCTGATTGTGTTCAAGAGGTGTTCCAGTTGTTTTGGGGTTGCATCCAAGATACACATTACTATTGGTACTACCTTTGCTTTCTTTAGCCATAGTCATTCTATTTGTATTTGCAATTTGTATTTTGTTATCTTCTTGATAACAAAATACAAAGCTGTCTCCGACTATTGTCCTGTCCACTATCCAGAGGTTTCCGTCTTTCTTGTTCATAATTGTTAAATCTGTCATGTGATGTGGCAGGTGCCTGTCTGTCAAAATTCTGAAGTCCCTGAGCACTTTAGCTTCTTTGTTTTCTATGATTTTCTATATTTTATGGTCCCACTAGTTTTTTGCTTGCAGGCAAAAGGTGTTTCTTGCAGATCTTCCATACACCATTGTTGCTACTTTGTCATGCCATTGTTTCAAGTCACTCTGTGTAACCTTCTGACATCAGCTGGTCCACTATTTCTTCAGCTTCTTTGCAGAGGTGGCACTTTCTATCTGTTGTTGTCTTGTAAATTCTAGCTTTCTATGAACTAGTTCTTATGGCTTGGTCCGATGCAGATAGAATTAGCCCCTCTGTATCTTTCTTCAACCTTCCTAATCTTAGCCATTGCCAGATTATTATCTGCTTTGCCTACTATTTTATTTTTTATTGTACTGGCCATGTAATAGTTCTTGCCATGTCTACTTTCTGTTTTTCATTTGTTCTTTTTTTATAAGCCATTTTGGTCTCACCGGTGCTCAGTAAGCCTCTCTAGTATATTAGTTTCAGTGCATCTTGTGACTCAGTTTGGCCAGAGCACCAGGTGATAAAAAGGGAGACTGGGAGTTCTAGTCATTCCTTAGGCATGAAAATCAGCTGGGTGACTTTAGGCCAGACACCCTCTCTCAGCCTAACCCACCTCACAGGGTTGTTGTTGTGGAGAAAATGGGAGGAGGAAGAAGGACCATTAGGTACTGTTTGTTAACAGCTTGAATCATTTTTTTAAAAAATAATAATAAAGGTAGGATAAAAATAAATAAAACAAATAATTAGAGGGATTTGAAAAGTCCTAGCTGACAAGTCTTATTTACATTTCCTCACTCAAGCAGGTACCTATTAGAGTTTATACTCCCACTAATCAGCAGATGACAATAGCAATGAAAGAAAAGCAGTGATAAAAAACCTGATTAATACTGTTGCAAACTACTTTAAACTCTGCTTTCTGAACCTTTATAAAATTTTAATGATTTTATACTGAGGTTCATGGCAGAAATGCTGATAACAAAAGCAAAAGTTCAGGGAGAATAAATAAATGGATTCATGGGGCAGCTTATAGCATAGCAAAAAGCAAAAGTATCCACACGTACTCTGTACCTGTGTTAAATGCTGCATGACAGATACTTAGGATAAAAAAAATTATTAATTAACTAGCTATTCCCTATCTGTAGCAGTTAAAAAGAACCAAGCAATCTGCCTTTATATGCCTAACTTCAAATGATAGCCTGGTTAAAATATAATATAGTACATTGACAGCAAGTCAGTGTATAACAAGAGGCCACAAAGTAAATGATCCCTTTCACAGAACCATCTAGCAGTCTTATGTGAAGAAAACCAAGAGCCTTTAAAGGTATGTATTAAAAATCATATTGTTCACTTTCTTTAATGTTGTAACCACTGTACACCTGTTATAAAACAGAGAATATTAATGTGTTCCTCTTGAAACATTGAGAACATTGTTTATCACCAATAACCATTCTCTACAGGAAATAATATAGATGTAACTTGACGCCACATTATCTTTTCTTCAAAAACATTTTTAAAATGTCATGCTTTCAGTCTATCCTTATGAATAACCTAACCTATAGAAAATCGGCTTGTTTATCGACCATAGAATTTTTAAAATTCTTATATTTATATGCTTAGAAAATGAAATTCAAGGGAGGAGTGTACTAAATCAATCAAAACTCTCTTTTGCAATTATTTAGTGAAGAAATATATGTTGTAATAACAAGAGCAGGAAATTTCTCCATGTCCAAAAGTATTGTGTAACTTTTCTCTTAGTTGTCCTAGGGCTACTGACTCTAAGTTGCAAAAATCTGTACAGCACCAGAGACAGACAGAAAATTCTACCACTTTGCTTCCAGCTGGTGGTCAATCACGGTTTTGCAATCTTTAATAATATCCTAACTGGATACTGAGATGAGTTCATGGAGATAAAAAAAAAAAGCTTATTCAGAAATTGAAGATAAAATAAATTGCAGGAAACAAAACTGAAACTTTCAGGCATGTAGCCCAGGGGTCAAGATAAATGGAAGTATTGGGGAAAAAAATGAAGAAATAAAACTGAGGGTGAAATATCCTGCTTTGCACAAATGAAAGAGTATAATCATAATGTATAAAACTAGATTTCCTTGCTGTGTTGAATTGCATGATAAAATTTAATTCATGCTAAAATTTTGCTGCATTCTTTTCTTGTTCTTAAAGCTCACATTTCTTAAAGTAAGAAATAATAATATATGCATGGAAATGTATGCTGTTGACTCAGTTCAGAAAAATATTTACACCTTGGTCAGTACTTAAACCACTCTTTACAGTTGGTAATGATAACATACAATTCATAACAGTTTGCAAGTTGGGAGGGGGGAGGGAGGGAACCACAAAGTCAATATATTTATTTAATTGCTGAAATAGTTGAGCATTTTGAATGTTTTTAAAAAAACAATTTAAACAAAGTTAGATAATTTGTCAATAACAAGGAAAGAAAAAAATGTAGCTCCTCTTACTTTAGTATGAAAAACCAAACAAGGCAAATGGTAATTTAATTGATTCCTTATTGATCTAAAAATGCTTGATATAAGTATGAGTGGGTTGTAATACTACTTTGAATTAAACACTGTTTATACCGTTTTTTTTTTTTTTTTTTTAAATAAGGTTGAGCAGATGGCTGTGGAGCCTATCTCTTGGAAAGACAGTTTGTCAGATATGGGCATAATTCCTAAGATTACTAATCAATCCTTATCCTCAAGAACTGTATTTCAGCCAAAATGAGCACTTGCTAACATTTATTTCTTATAAATCTCAAGCTAAAGGGCCACAGTGGTGCAGTGGTTAGAATGCAGTATTGCAGGCTAATTCTGCTGACTGCTGATTGCCAGCAGTTTGGCATTTCAAATTTCACCAGGCTCAAGGCTGACTCAGCCTTCCATCTTTCTAAGGTCGGTAAAATGAGGGCATAGACTGTTCTAGGGCATCAACTGCTTAGAGAGAGCTGTAAAGCACTGTGAAGCAGTATACAAGTCTAAGTGCTTCTATATTGCTTTTGCTTTTGCTAAAGGTACCCCCCCCCCGTAGGTTTTATTCTAATTCTAGTTGGTCTGTGTTTCTGTGTATGTGTAATGTGTGCATGGGCATTCGGTAAGTTTTTCTTCAATGATTATCAACTGGGAAGAAACAGGAAAACAACAGGAAAAAAACCTACACATGTAAATATGGTTTTGCTTTCACTTGAGAGAAGTTTAGTGATTAAAAATAAACGTTTTAAAATGCTAGTTTGAAAAAAGTTGTTGTAATTCATCATAAACATTTAATGTTTTCTTGCAAGTTCTGTGGTGAAGAAGGACACAGGTTTAGCATTGTTGGCTATATTTTGATTATTTGGATGAAAGGATACATAATTTGAAAGCAACTGCTTGAATTGAATTTATGATGCATGTTCCATATATAGATATAGATAAATATCTATTTATCTCTTTTTCTCTCTAGATGGGAAAGAAGAAATTCACTGGATTAGAAATCTCCCTGATTACTTTCTTCCTTTTGCTTCTTATCATAACCATTGCTTTGATTGTACTTCTAGCAACAGGTTATTCTGGTCTTAAAGGTAATAATCCACTGTTCCTTGATTTATAGCCAGAAGAATGCTTCAACGGCTTCATTGGCTACCCAAGATCTTTTAAAAGAATACTTAAATATCTCCTACATGATTTTTAGATAGCTTGGACATCTAATCATGCCTTCAAGTGAGCCTTTGTGTTTTTTCTGTCATTCTTTCTTCATTTGCCATCTTGAAATATGAAACCCATGGGAATTAGAGTAGGATAGGTATACTGGGGTTAAAAATTCAAAACAGAACCCACCAAAATTCTTTCCAAGCCCCAGTCTCATTTAGGTATGATGCAATTCTACCCATTTCATGAACTCCCTCCAATAGCTAAATGGAGTCCATCAAAAGGTGGTCTTGTCCATTCTAAGTCATAGAACAGACAATAACATTTCCCTATTTGTACCTAACAAGATACATATATATATATTCCTTAGCTATTGGTTGCCTTACCTGGTCTTCAATATGTATCTGAGACAGCCTAAAATACTGTTTTCCTTGTTAAGTAAATAATAAGCTATAGCAATTTTACCACAAATACAATCTGACACACTTTCTGACTCTTTTGCAATGGAATTACCTAGAGGGTTGGATCAGCTTGGCAGCTATTAACCAATTTAGGCTGATTTTAGGTATCCTTTAACTTTCTAGTTCTTGGGTACTGCCTCTGCTCATTATATTCTGAGCAATGGAAGAATTCAGGAATAAAGTAGGTTATCTATCAGTAAATATCAGTCAAGTCACTGGTTAATTCTCAGCTCATGGATATGAATGGTAGCTGATCAGAAAGGTTGACAGGGATTCTGCAGGAAAAAGAGTGATTTTCTTTGCCCCTGCTCCTCATGATGCATCTCCACCCACATATGGTTATGGTATTCATCAGCTACTATTCAGAGTTATGTTTCTTGTTTTTAACATAGGCTTACTAGCTTGATAGAAAAACAGCCCAAACTATAGTTAATGGCCGAGGAACTACATAGTAAAGCAAGAGAGACAGAACTAGTTCATACAACCATCCCACAGCTTGGTTGCCAAAGTGCTTTTGAATGTGAAGTTAGCCTTCTAGCAGAAGATCATGAACCCAGTATTTCAAAAACTATGGGATTAGCAGTCCTCTGGAAAAACAATAAACACGTGTTCAAAAGTTCCTCAAACAGAGGCTGACAAATCAAAAATTGCCCACTACAACCATATTTATCATCAGGTATATTTGCTTTAATAGCTATTTGGTCTGATCCTACTCAGGTGCACAGATCTGATGGGTAAAGTCTTTCCTCTTCACCTGTTGCTTTTCAGAACTTTGTTTCTAGACTGAGTGCAGAGGTGAATAGGTGGGTGAATGGGTGGAGAGAGTTTTATAAGCTTGTGAGTTCACTCATCCATCAAACCATTGACATTACAACAATGCTGTATTGATGGATCTGTTTCCCAACAACTGATGACAGTGACAATGGAAGGGTGGGGGAAGCCATCTTCCCTGCATAGGAAATAAGGACATCTTTGACAGCTATCTAGAACAGACACCACAGTCACTGAGCTTTGGAGATGAGCCCTTAGGTGCAGTTTAGTTGGTAATGCCCTTGTTATAAAACAACTTCAAAATAAATAAACAAATAAATAAAGTGGGGGAGGGCATTTGCTGAAAGGAATGTAATGCTTACTTACTATTTACATGCTTATTGTTATAAGTTTCATAATAATATAGAATACACAAAGTTGTATTCCTGTAATTAACCAAGGGAACCTTTGAGGGCTAAACAATATACCTGAAGCTTTCTGGAAGCTGAAGTAAACAACTAAATTATTGCTTGAGCATAGGCCTACAGAAAGAGTGTCAGTTATAGATAAAAAAGGATAAATCAACGTTTTTGACCCATTGGGCATAGAGAAGAATAAGCTACATACTGTCATTGTGGCAATTTTTAGTATGAGTTAAATATCAGATCTATATTTGTAATTTTGCTATGATAACATTTAAAATGCTTGCATCTCATTCAGCTATTATATCATTCTTTCCCAGCCCCACCATTTAACACACACACACACACACACACACACACACACACACACACACACATCTCTCTCTCTCCCTCCCTCCCTCTCTCTCCCTCTCTGAGGTGGTGTTTAGCAGGTTTTGACCAGTTCTGGAGAACCAGTAGTGGAAATTTTGAATAGTTCAGAAAACCGGCAAATACCAATTCTGACTGGCCCTACCCGCCATCTATTCTCTGCCTCTGGAGTCCCAGTTTATTGGCTGGGTCTTCTTCCAACAGAGCTGGAAAGCAGGTTAGTGGGGTGGGGAGGGAATGGAGATTTTTCAGTATCCTTCCCCTGCCATGCCCACCAAGCCACGCCCACCAAGCCACGCCCACAGAACTGGTAGTAAAATTTTTTGAATCCCACCACTGATACCCACACACACAAAATATATGCACACACTATAATGTGTGTGTATGTGTGTGTATGTGTGATGACATACTCAAAAATTTTATAAATACTTATGATTAATTATTTTGCAGAAACTAATAATCTGGTTCATTGCATATTTTCAGACAAATTGCTTAAATGCAAGTCATTTGTTTCAACTATGCAGTGAAACAGTTGCTAGTCTCTGCAAAAGTAATGTATCATGGTAGAATAAACAGATTATGATAAAATGTTCCCTAGATGAAAGTATGTACAAAATACTCTGGGACAGAACCAAGTTATTTATTTGTATAATTGCTTTAAAATGGGTAATCAAATTATGAGGACATGTGCTTATGCTAACATTAGAATATGTAAACTTCAGGATAACATGATTGCATTTTATTAAGCAGAAAAAAGAAAGATTATTAGACAATAGCAACATTCATTTATATCATGTGTTTATAACATTTATTTCAACTATTTATTTCCAAAAATGTAATCAATAAAACAATATATTAACCCACACTTTCTGTGCAATGTGTATTATGTATTTGAAAATAGCCTTTAAGGGTAAGAAGTAGAATTTGTTTAAAAAAACTAGGCACAATACAGGGTGATGTTATTTATTTGTGATGGTACCGAGATCAAAGGCTGAGTTAATGACAGGCTGTAGGAATAGTTGAAAACTTGTTTGGTGTAGTAGTTAAAGGCACCAGACTAGAAACAAGATTGTGAATTCTTATCATTGCTTAGGCACAAAGGCAACTAGGTGGCTTTGAGCCTGTAACTTTCAGACCTAGAAAGGAAGCAATGGCCATCCATTTCTGACATCTTGCCAAGGAAACTTCAGGCACTAATCCAGCTAGTCACTGGGAGTCAATACTGACCAGAAGGCCAAATTAAAAGGTAGATTGTATTTGTATGTCAATGTGAGCTCAGGAGTTACTGAGGCCAGAGTCAATGTTGGAGATTTTTGAGACCAGCAAAAATGTTAGAGGTGCAAGTTTATGTGGCAGAAATTGGACTCAGAGTTGAACATTGGATGGAATGCAAAGAATGCCATTCTGGACTATGTGGTAAAACAGTGGTGAAACAGGAATACAGTTGCATGTGGTATTGGACTGCAGATGGTGGACTGTTAAAGACTCTTGCAGTAGGATGCTTTCACGAATAGAATTAAATATGATTCTTGTCTGGATTGACATGGTGTTTTATATCTGTTCGGATTCATTTTTTTAAAAGTGGCCTGTTGCAGCTTTGCCTTTGGTATGTTGGAGGGCTTGTGGTTGTAAGTGGCTCAAATCCTGTTGGTCTTTTGTAGACCATTAAGACCTGACTTTTCTCCTTGGCATCAACTCAGGGTGGTGAATGGAATGGCTTTAATTCTGAATGATTCTGGGCTGGGTCTTTGGGAGAGGCTGATTTTGTATTAAATGTATGTAAACTGCTCAGAGTTGAAATTTGAGAGTTGGATTACTACCTAAATGGAAATAAATCAGCAAGCAAGCTTGAGCAGCATTTAGTCTGCAATCCAGAACTAACTAAGGTATAAGTCACTCAATGTACTGGATTTAATTCAGACTTAGTACGTTCTGCAGAATAAGGACGCTAATAAAGCATGGCCATTCATAGATAGAAAAGAAGGTTACATCAACATTCTCTTACATTCTCTTCTAAAAATTAAATGCATGTTCTGTCTGATATGTATATACTGATACATGCACAATCTCTGAATGTATAACCACAATTCTAGTAAGCATCTGAATATCACATTCAAAGTAATGTTTGTTTTAGACAGTTGCTGATTCTTGTTAAAATGAAATAAACACTATTTTTGCCATATCATCTAGTGAGGATTGCTCAGATTTGTTAACTAACAAAATACTTGATTGTTATATTTGTATTGCCTATTTATTTCTATTGTTGTTGTTGTTATTATTATTCTCTGACTGATATAATAAATTGATGTATTTCTAGCCTTCTCACCTACTTGTCCAGTTATTCCTCTTCCTGAAAGAATAGATTGCATCCCAGACCAAGTGGCAACAAAGGTAAGCAGTGTATACAAGTGAAATAATAATAACAACTTAATGATTAAGAATTATTAAATGATTAAATTTCCACCAATCTTAAACTGTAAGTATGGGTACTCCTCAACTTACAACAATTCATTTAATGACCATTTGAAGTTATAACCGTACTGAAAAAAGTCACTTATGGCTATTTTTCACCCTTACAACTGCTGTAGCATCCCTATGGTCATGTGATCAAAATTAAGATGTTTGGCAACTGACTCACATTTGTAATGATTGCAACATCCTAGGGCATGTGATCACCTTTTACAAACCTCTGACAAGCAATGTCAGTGGGGAAGCCACATTCCCTTAACAACTGTGGCAAGAAAGTTTGCAAAACTAATTTAACAACAAACCCCAAAAATGGTTCAATTATGGTTATACATGGAGGACTACCTGTGTAACTGCAGATTACCTATAAATAATATTTGGGTAGCAGAAGAGAAGAGAAAGAAATGGAGAAAAACAGTAAACAAGAAGACCTGAAAATAGAAGTTGAATAACTGTGTTAAAAGAAGGCAAAGGTAGTATCACTTGTAGTAGGTGCTTTGGGTGAAATCCCAAAATGTTTGAAGTACCATTTGAACAACATCATCAGTGATGAAAAGTTCACCCATTAATTTTATTCGGAGCTGTAGCGATATTTTAACACCATCCAAGAACAATATCTGCCTGTCCCATGTCCTTGGGAAGAACTCAATAGATATATAAAAATGCCAAATCCAGTCTAAACATCTAGCTAATCAGAAGTTCTTTTTGGTCAAGAGTAGCTGAAAATATAAAGTTAAGAAGTATTGTGTGATTTTTTTTTTATAAAGGAAAATTTGCTGCTCCTTCTTCCCTTTTCTTTCTTTCCTCTTATGTAAAGCAATCCTAAGAAAATACTGTACTTTGCAAGGGTACAAAGTAGATAAGAAAGGAAAACAAAATGCATGCCATTGATCAAGGCAAAGTCAAAGTTTTATGAGTATGTTGTTCATTGGTATCGTTCAGGTTAATGAAAAATTTTTATTTCCTGCACTGCTGAAGATTACACGTCCACATTTTTAAAGGGAATGTTTGCAAAGGGTTGGACTAGCCAATGGAATTGATCATGCTAATTGAAAAAAGCTTGGCAGCCCTTCCTATTTCTTTATGCATGTATGCAATCACTTCTAAAGACTCAGGAAGGTTTACAAATGTCATGTTGTTTAAACCATATCATGCGTCATGATTTAGTAAGCTAACTGACTGAGTTATTTGTTGGCAGTCAAGAAGAGCATTCATGCAGCTTTTTGTGCCTTCACCAATATGCCTTCCCATTTTTCCCCAAGTTAATAAGCTTATACAGAACAGTTTGAAATTCAGTAAGAGAATTTTGGAAAAAAATATATAAAGAAAACAAAAAAAGTGTGGCAATAGAGGGAAAGAGTCAGCTGGAAATAGAAGGAAAAGAAAAATTCATTGTCGTCATCATTAATGCCATCACATCAGATAGTTGGGAAAAGTTGAAACTGCTATCATATGGGCTACCACAAAAAGTGCTTTAGGATTGCATGGTGTAGAGGGGTGTTTAGGTAAACCCCAACAATTATCAGAGAAGGGAAATCCAATTAATATACTTTTTTTCCATGAATGTGTGAGTGAAAATCCTGATGCAGTTTAAAGACTTAACATAAATGAAGGCAAATACATGTGTCCCAAAATAATCCCAGGATTGCAAGATCCAATCTGAGTCAGTCACCAGGACCAGAGGTTTAGTCTTCTGAGCTTTCAGACTTATGCTGGACCCCATCCTCAGGGAACTTCTCTATCAGAATATGTGCTTTGGGTTATTCTATGCTTTGTATTTATGTGATGCTTTCCTTCAGAGGTGGTATTCAGCAGGTACTGACCAGTTCTGGAGAACGGGTAGTGGAAATTTCAAGTAGCTCAGAGAACTGGCAAATACCACCTCTGACTGGCCCCGCTCCCATCTATTCTCTGCCTCCTGAGTCCCAGCTGATTGACTGGGTCTTCTTTTGTTGCCTTGCACAGGAGAATGGAGCTGGAAAGCAGGGTAATGGGATGGGAAGGAAAGCAGTGGTGGGGAGGGAATGGGGATTTTGCAGTAACCTTCTCCCAGGAGTTGGGAGGGAATGATGATTTTGCAGTATCCTTCTCCTGCCACGGCCACCAAGCATGCCCACAGAACCGGGAGTAAAAAGTTTTGAATCCCACCACTGCTTTCCTTATGTGGTTGATTAGTGTGTTGATGGCCAGCAATTGACTGTTGTTTCCTTGTGCTGTTGTTTCCTGTACTTACAAATCCTTGACACATAACTTGATAAGCTGGTGGTAAAACAGCACTCCTGTTGACCAACAAAGGGCCTGTTTCTTATGCTTCAATCATTTCCCTATCTTTGTACCTACATGGCCAACACTCTTAGTAGCTGTGAAATTGCATGTATGACCTTGTTCATTGCAGTTTGAGGCTACGAATCAGTTTTGGTTTTTTGTATGCCTGCTCAGACCTTGAAAACAATTTTCTACCTATTATTATGTGCTACTTATTAAATAGGCAGAAGAGAATCTTCCTCTATGAAGCTCTAAAAGAAATGATTTGGAGTTTACTTTA